AGAGAACGTGATGTGTGAGAAAGAAACCCCGTGCCAATGATTCAATGCTGAATGCTGTCGCCCCTTGAGATGTGGAAGAGCCCAGGTCGGCCACCACCGCAGATAGGGACCCTCCACGCAGTGAACAGTGGGCTTTCAGCAGTTCCGACGTGAACACAGGGTTGCTCCTTTGGCCGTTCCTAGAGGATGGCCAAGCCGCAAGGGCGGAAATTTTATCAAATGTCCCTCGATAGGTACCCAATGGTCTAGCTTTCAAGGTCATTCCCAGGTATGGATATTGGAGGTGAGTATACCACTTGTTTTTTTCGGCAGTGTCAGCAAACATGGACCTAGACCCATACCTTGACCCTGAACTTTGTGATCGGGAATTCGCAATGGTCCATAGGCCCTTTCCCTGCCCCGCAAAAATGTCGATTCCGTTGTGGTGGTCGAAGTCCTTTCTCCCGTCGCTCACGCTGGTTTGCTGGCTTCGATCAATCTCGTGAGTGTAGAAGATGCGCCCCTCAATGCTTGAGGGTTCCCCTACGAAAATAGACTACAGAAGAAGAAATAAAAATCGGTACCCTTATTCTAACCTCTCTTCTACGGGAGGACCTAGTAGCTGTTCTTTCCCTTTTTTGGTTCCGTTCATTTTTGCTGGGGCACCAATTCCTGGAGGCACGTGGGATGTCTCCATCGCCAGGCCTGTGCCTCTCTCGCCACGAGCTCAACCAGTTCCTCACGGACTTCGCGGGCCTAAGGCCGCCGAGTTGGGTGTTTCTCAACATTGGGGACGGTGTTTTTCCCCCCCCCCCCCAGCAACCCAAAGGAATCTCAAAATCGGGGACCGCTTTTGGGTGTTTTTGGTGTTTTTTTTTCCCGTAGAAACCCAAAAGGAAACCAGCCCAGAAAGGGTTCCCCCATTCTGAGAAACCCCCCAGTTCACCAAAAGCCACCGCGGGGGGAGTTTTGGGCGGATGGCCGCCTGCTCCCAAAGGCAAAAGAGAATGGGCATTGCCCTTGCCAGAAAATTCGGCCAGGGAATCGAAGTGGTTTTTAGTTCTACGGGGTTTTGAGTGGGCCATTTTGGTTTTAGGTTTTGAGTGTGACGCATTTGAGTTAGAGTTGTTTTGGCCACATTTGTTAAGATGAATTCATGGTTATGGTTCACTAAATGTGGAGCAGATTCAAGGATATGCTTGGTTGAGGCCAACCGCTGAGGCAGAGTTTGTGGGAGTTGCTGCCAGGGTTTGCAGGGCGCCTTATATTTCCCTTGTTGCCCGGCCGGTTCATTTGTCTCTTCATGCTGGATTTCTAAGGAGCTACTTGGCCCTTTCAGCCGGGATCGTCCTTTGTAGACATGTGTGGAGGACTTGATGGTAGTCTACCAGGAGTCCTTTATGGGACACATGTATGGACTCAAAGTGCAGGTTTCTTCCCTGGTTTTAACCCTCTGTTCCAAACAACCAGAGTGGGCGATTCTAAAAACAAAAAGAGAAGAAGAAAAAAAAACGGGCCCTTTCTCGGCAAACGCGTCTTTCCTTTGCCTGAAAAGCCGCCCAAAGGCGGTCCACTGAGTACATACTGGTTATTCCGTTGGTTTCCCCAAAAAAGGAATCCCAACCCAAAGACTGCGCGCATCCCTCCCGTGGTGTGTCTCAAAATAGCCTCCCTCCTCAAAACGGATGGTTTCCCTTTGGGTTGCCTCCACACCGAGAATAGTGGTGCCCACTGTTTCGAGTGCCACCCCACAAATAGGTTCCCTTCAGTTTCCCTTCAATGGGTTCCTTCCCCAACTCCCTTCACACCCCTGAATCCTGGACTCTCCGGCAAAACCGATGGTGTATATATTATATCTTGGGTGTTTTTTTCCGGCAGACCAAATGCGAAACACAACCATGAGCATGTGATTTGCTGTGTATCCCTTTATTGTCTTGCCGGTGCCCAGTAGGCAATGAGCAGTGGTCTCCAGCTTTTGGTGGGGCCTTAGCTCGGCCAAGCTCAACCTCCTCCCCCCCAGCGAAAACCGCGAAGATCGCGAAAATGGTCCCTAAGTGGTGCAGGAAGTCGTCCACAGGAAATCGTCTCCACCTTTCCCTTCAACGAAAACGATTCGCGAGAATCCATCGCGAGGGGCGTGGAGCTGAACGTGGTGGCGCAGAGCATCTTCGGGGCCATGGACCTGGAGCGCGAGGGCCAGGTGCCGCAGGACCGCGCTGGGGCGCTGGTTTTTGGCGCTGGTGTTTGGGGAGGTTTGGGGAGGCATTGGAGGTGAAAGGTGTTGTTTTTTAGTTTAAACCCCTGTGGGTTTTAGGGGGAATCGATTTCGCTGCTGGAAATATGATTGTTTGTTGTTCCCCCTTTTTCCAGGGGACTTAAGCAAATGGAGGCCACGCTGGCCGTGTCAAAGAGGTCCATTTGCTCCCATAGCCCAAAGACTTCCCTTTGTTCAAGCAGATTGTTTCCGGAAAGCCAGCAAAAAACCAATGGAGAACTGCAGTTGCTTGCAAAGGAACCAGGGGTGGCTTCCTTTTGCTGAAGTATTTCTTTCAACTTGTTGGTTTTAAAGGGAATCGATTTCACTGGACATACTCGCTCATTTTTCCCCAGCTTGAAGCAAATGGAAGAAGAAGGTCACCTAAGCCATATGACAGCCTCCTGGCAGCGGGTATCGACCGGGACTCCTCCCGGCGCGCAGGACCTGCTATTGCAACGCCTTGATGAGCCGCCCTCCATGAAGGAGATCGCCGAAGCTCGAGGGTTGCTCCATTTGATGACCAAACTGCAAGGCTGTTGATTCGAATGGGGAAAACCACCTCAGCATAGGTGTCCTTTGTGGTTTGCTTTGCCATGTAGAAACTTACTGGAGGACCTAGATAGGGAAAACCCCCTCAGTGCTCGGTGGAGATACAAAGCGCCGCCTGTCGAAAATGAGAATGGGTGTGGCTTTTGCAGGTTTCCCTTTGTCAGGGTTGAATGGGTGCAACCCTGGGTGAACCAGCAGGTACCGATTGTGAATTGTCCACCTTGTGCCAGGGATTTGCGAGGAGCCATAGCCTTCATGCCAACCGGGCGCTTGAAACCCTTCGCCATGTCGCCTTTCGGGGGGGGAGGGGGGAACTTGTCCAGACCTTCATCCCGGGCAAAAACGAGCAGCGGATGTATCAAAGACAGAATCGACTCTTGCAGCCAATCTGTTGGCTGCGGTATTACCTATTGAATTGGCCGGTGAATCGGCATGAAACGCTTTGGCCTTCCTCGTTTCTTCCGATTTCTTGGGAAGGTTCCTTCGGGTTTCGGGTGTTTCCTTGAGCTTGGTTTGGGTTCCTGATTATCATAATGATTGCTAATAATACTGAGGATACATGGACATTCAGGATACGTCATGATGATTATCAATACAAGCAAGGTCGTCGTGAGTATCATTTCTGTCTTCTAAATGTTTCAAGTATTTCGTCATGGGTTCCTAGCTCCTCGAGAAGTTCTCTCGCTTTCTTTGGGCTGGTAATTATTGATTGATGGGTGGTTTTTGTTTTTGGCTTCTTGGAGTTCCTTTGGGCCGGGCTAGCGATTTCTTAGTTGACCACGACTTCTGAATCCAGTGGACCTGGATGACCAATCGAGGTCCGCCAGAGGGTCCTGTATGGCAACACCGACTCACATGGAAGTCAGACCCCTGCAAGAACAAAACCTCTCGGAAGGAGGGCTTTGTGTGCTTGCATGTTGCCTTGGTGGGTACTGCGCAGGAGGTGTGGCTGGCAGATTTGGACAACCTTTGGCCCGGCCGAGACGCGGTGATCCAGTGACCCGTTCCAGCGGATTTTTTTTGCGATCGGTCGCCGCCCGGGGCAGGTTTGACGAAAGAAAATGACCCAGCTCGTGTCCAACAGATTCAGGGCTCTCGGAATGAGGGCCTTCTTAGACTACTTGGCTTCACATGGTTTTTTTCTGCCGGCCGGCGAAATGGTCCGGCAGGGAGGTACCTTACCACCTACCCAAGTCTGGAAAAACCTTAAGAGCTTTGTACGCTCGCTCCCTCGGTTCCTAGGTGTGATACTTTTCGGGAAGACCATTGTACTGGTACACAAGCAGCTTTGGACATGTTTCAGGAAGTGAGTGTTTGTTGGGGCACCTTGCCTTGCCTGGGGCGGAGAGAACTGACTGGTTGTTGACCAAAACACCTGCCAAATCAGAAGAGACCCCTCCAACGTTCAATTGTTTCGAAGAGGGGCTTCCCGTCAACCCCCTTGTTGGTTGGATATGAAAGCCGGGCCCCCTTTTCGATCAGATTTGCCAAAAAAAAGCAGGGTGTCCAAGAATATATTTTCAGCCAATGTGTTAGCCCAAGAATGGTTGTCAAAATGGTTCACCCATCGAACATGGAACCACAGCCCTTTGTACAAGCTGCTCTCGAGCCCTGCAGTGTATTACAGTATTTCTGCGCTCCATGTCGGTTGCAGCAGGCAAGCATGCCTTTGGTGTGTCTTAAAATAGGGGGTGCTTGTGGTTTCCTTGTAAAATCAACACGAGAAGGGTACCCTCAAAAAACACCCCACGCGCAGTTGGCGTGTCCAACACGGCCGGGGTCTCTTCCAGTACCCACCTCGCAGGTACGCCCGCCGTGAGAGCCCCCCGCAGACACCCGACAGGGTCGACAGGAGGCAGCGGGGAGCTCAAGGGGGTGGTATCCTTTTCATGGCCGTTTTGGCTTAGCTTACTGTGTTCGGTTCTTTGCCTTTTCGGTGTTCCTCTGCTTGCCCGCAAAATGTTAAGGGTCAGATCAGGTTTGGGGCTGGGTTTCAAAGGACAGCGAGAATCCGAAAGGAAACTGACCATTGTGAAGGGGTCGCTGAGACACGCCCACATCTTACCTCAAATCCAAATCTGACCCCATCCAGACATCGCTAAAGGCCCAGGGTTGCCAACCGGGACTCCGAATCCCCGGTGAAGGTGATCCTACGGACCACTTGCGAGGGGGTGCTTGCTCGCAAAGGAATGCAGCACTTGGGAGGGTTGTCTCTTTCATGCGCTTTCTTGTGATTCATGTCTTGCCCGAGCACACCTTGAATCGACAGAAACTGCATCGATCCTTCCAAAGGGAAACAGAACAATCCCTGTCTGGGAAATACCGGGATTTCAGTCTGACCCAAAACGGTCTCCAAAGGACCACACTCTATGCCCCACACTCGTAACCCCCAAACCCCAAGCTCCAAAGCTGCCTACGCACTTGGGTAAGCTGTCCCTTGCCAAGTCAACCGACCGGAAAAGCGTCTTCCGTTTTTGTTGTTTTGGGGGAAACCAAAACTGTGGGGTCTTCTCTTTTGTTTTCGGTCAGCTGTCGGTCTGTGGGTCTTCCTTCTGCTTCCTCCAGTTCTGTTGGGCGGGGAAACGGGAAATATTTTTTCACGGCAGAGCTTCAGATCCCCAGTCCCTGAGCCTCCCGCGCTTTGACCATGTCAGTGGCAAAGCGGTTTTCTTGGGCCCATCCACTCGTCCAGTGGAGAAGATACAGAAAAGGGCCCAAGTGTTTTTTGTTTTTCTTTTTCTCTCCTCATGAAGGGTGTTTTTCTCAGAATAGGAATCGGATGTCCTAAAGTCTGTGGGCTCCTTCCCTTTTCGTTGGCTTCCCTTGGAACTGAAAAACATAGTATATTCCTTCCCCTTTGTTTTGGTTTCCTCCTTCCTTTCTCTTGACGTCACATACCGGGTGTCCTTGGGAAGGCCCTCACGACGGAGCCGGCCAGGCGCAAATCTGATTCGGATTCGGAGGTCCCAGGTCCGGCGGTTTCCCCCGAAATCTCTCGCGGCATCTTGCCTAGGTCCCCCAGCTAGGTGCCCTTCTTACCGTCTTGGCTGGGAGGGTTCCCCTACTAAAATAGACTACAGAAAAAAGAAAAAATGCGCTTATTCTAACCTCTCTACTGGACGACCTAGTTGCGTTAGGTTCGAAGCTGTGGATGCAAAGGCGCAATCCGAAAATCGCACCATTCAGAAACCCAACGGTTTCTTAATTCGATTCCCCTACGTAAATACCCTTCAAACCATATGGTTTCAAGTGCAGGAGTTCGTCCATCCACTAGAATCAAGATATGTGTGTGTTTGGGCTGAGGTGGCGAAAGCAAACTTCAGCCCTTTTGCAGGGCTCCTTAAAAGATACATTTTGCCCAGTTGAAACATGGTTTTTTCCATCAAAATAAAGGGAAACCACCATTTACAAGGCAATGTTCAAGTGTATAATGTAAGGATCCCTGTTTTGGTAGGTGTTTTCGTCGTTTTCCTGGGTTCAAAACTGACACAATTTCGCCATGTTCCCAGACGCCCGGCCATGGCACGAAGGGGCGTCTTCGGTGTTTCGTGGGTTTTAAAGGGCAACCCTGTCTCCACAAAAAGGACAACCGGCATGTCTGGTCGCAAAGAGGCACAAGTTGGAAAAACCGCCCAAAAGGCAAAAAACAAACAGCCCAAAAAGCCGAGAAATCATTGCGATCCCCACTCTCAAGACACAAGGCGTGTGAAGCCCTCAGCATCCCGCAAACTCTGGGCGCTCACTCCGGGGTCTCTGTGGTTTCCGCGACCCGCAACACAACATTATCCCAGAAGTTTAATGGGATCTGCCACTGTGCACCTATTTTACATACCCCATTCTCCCGTAGCAGTGGTTTGAGAGACTGGGTTACCCGTTTTCTGCATGTGACCTCAGAATGAGAGTCTGGAGAACGCGGACACTGGTGGTTTAAACATGGCGTGTTCTTGGCTTGCTTTGTTTCCGACCGAAACCTGGCAACTAAAGGACGAACGTGTCCAAGGAACCAAACTGGTCTACTTTCAGGCCCACTTTTCACTCACTTGTCAGGTGCTTACAGCCCAATAAGTCAGTACTCCAATGCCACACATTCCCTTGAAAGTGGGAGAAGGTGGATTTCCCGCCCGTTACTTGAAAGTTAGTTCACATGTACCTTGAGAAAGGAATTGGGTCATTGGCACAGTGGAATTGGGGAACCCACCTCTCCCCCTTGCAGTTGGTAGGTGGAAAAGCAAATGTCCCACCCCCCTCCCCCCCTCCCAAGTTCCGGGATACATGTGGCGAAGGGCCCTGATTTTGACAACCCTCCACATATGCGTGTGTGTGTGTGTGTGTACATTGTTTGTTTGAGGGAAATGGTTTCCACACTGTCGCCCAGGTTCCTTCCGTGTCCGATGGCACGAATTCCCCATGTTGTTTAAGTCATCCCGGTTGCTTCCCCGCATCTATCGGGAATTTTGTGCCATCTGCCTTCACCCTGTTTCACCCTGGTATAGGGTGCGTCTCTTGACGCAGGGGTCCCTATGGTTCTCTTTTTGGTGGTATTAAACATCAAGTTTCCCTTGGTATATAGGGGTGGAAGCGAAAGATGGGACATGTGTCGGTGGTTTGCCTTTCGGTTTCTTTCAATCCCAAAACACAACCCCACTTGAAGGACTTGGCAGATCCGACCTTGCGCAAAACAGTTCACTTTTGGCTGGGCTGGGACGCTAAAAGTGCACTCAGGGTCGATTTTAAGCATGTTGCAACCTCCTTCCTTTGGGGAATTGGTTTTTTGGGAGGTTCTGAAAGTTCTTGGCTGCAAGAAGTTCATGTTTTATTGTTTTGTGGCTTTTTTAGGTATAAGGTCGATCTAGGTTTTTATTGTTTTATTCCCCAACAGCTGAAAGCTTTGGGGTCTCAGCCCAGATAGGCTCGGGGTGGTTCGGGGCGACCCTGAGCTAAGGTTCCACCAGGGTTCCACCAGGGTTCCACCAGGGTTCCACCAGGGTTCCACCAGGGTTCCACCAGGGTTCCACCAGGGTTCCACCAGGGTTCCACCAGGGTTCCACCAGGGTTCCACCAGGGTTCCACCAGGGTTCCACCAGGGTTCCACCAGAGTTCCAGGCTGCGGGGTGGTGGTTTGAGGTAAGGTTCCATGAGGGTTGCGCCAGGGCTGCAGGGTGGTCCGGGGTGGTTTGAGGTAAGGTTCCATGAGGGTTCCACCAGGGTTCCAGCAATTTCTTCAAGCGCTACGCGGTGGTCCGGGCTGGTTTGAGGAAGGTTTCACAAGGGTTCGACAAGGGTCCCACCAGGGTTCCACCATCTGCGAGTCCAGGGTGGTTTGAGGTAAGGTTCCACGAGGGCACAGCCACGAGGGTTTCACCAGGGTTCCACCAGGGTTCCACCAGGGTTCCACGGTCCGGGCTGGTTTGAGGTAAGATTCCATGAGGGTTCCACCAGAATTCCACCAGGTTTTGTAAGGTAAGGTTCCATGAAGGTTCCAGCAGCACGGTTCTAGCAGGGTTCCACGAGGTTCTGCGAGGGCTGCGGGGTGGTCCGGAGTGGTTTGAGGTACGGCTCTCTGAGGGTTTCAGGGTTCCACGAGATTCTGCGAGGGCTGTGGGCCCTGAAGTTTCACAGGGTTCCACAAAGTTCTGCAACGATTCCACACGGGTTCCACAAGGCCCCACAATGTTCCACCAAGGGTTCTGCAAGGTTCCGTGGCTTGCCCTGGAGGGAAGCAGTGGTCGCGCGCCCGTCGTCTGAAAAACCATCGGATCAAGATCAATGGCTTTTAGCACACTTTCACGGCTTTGTGACTTGCTCACTTGCTCAGGCAAATGTTGGCTTTGTGGCAAATCAGATCACGTCGCTGCGGGACTCACGGTGCAGCAGAGTAAATGCTTGGCATTGCTGCTTGCTGGGCTTTGGGTTCCAAGAATTCCACGAGGGTGGAAGGGGTATGAGGTAAGGTTCCAAAAACATTCCACAAGGTTGCCACCAGGTTCTGCAAAGGCTATGGGGCAGCCCTGAGGAAAGGCTCCAACAAAGTTTAACGCTGAGCTCCACGAAAGTTGCATGAGAACGGTTTGCGAGGTTCACCGGGCCTAGGTCGGGGCCCGATTGCACCGTCGGGGCCCGATTGCACCGCTTGGGCCCGATCGGCCCCGAGTGCGCCATCCTCCCCGATTGGGGCCCGACCCCGTCAACTGTACCAAGCTGGCATCGCCTAGTTTTGCTATTGATACAGTTGTAAACCGCATGCTAAGGAAAACCGGCGTTGAGCTATAATATGGGTGGCTGGGGTTGCACCACGGGACGATCGGGCCCCAATTGCACCGTCGGGCCCCGATCGGGCCCCGATTGCACCGTCGGGCCCCGATCGGGCCCCGATTGCACCGTCGGGCCCCGATCGGGCCCCGATTGCGCCGTCGGGCCCCGATCGGGCCCCGATTGCGCCGTCGGGCCCCCATCGGGCCCCGATTGCGTCGTCGGGTCTCGATCAAGGCGCTGCGCTGTAGTTTTGTTTTAGAAAGTTACAAGGCGGCATCCTCAGCAACGGCGGTAAGGATGGTCCCGGGGTGTTCCGCGGGGATTCTGGGAGGGTGTGGTGCTGTTGGGGATATCGTCCGAGCTTATTTTTTAAGGCTCTTTTTTTTTGTTGGTTTGTTTTATGGTTTTATGGTTCTAAGTGTCCATGCCGCCCCCCTGCCCCACCCCCACTCGGCCTCGAGGCTCCGCTGCCACAGCGCCCGGGGCCTTTCGCCGCGACGAGCGCCACGACACGCAGAACGGGGCGCCGGGGGTCCTGGCGAATCCGAAACCAAAATGTGTCTTCGGACATACTGTGGTTGGCTGCGAACTCCGCTTCTCGCTCCGCGAAATGAAGCCAGGGTTGAGACCATGTTGTGTTTTTCTTTTCGGGAACCCGAAACCGTTGGGTGTTTGATGTCGGTGCCGATGTCTGGAATTTTGCTTTTCCATCCACAGTAGGACATGGGTGTGTGTGTGTGAGAAAAAAAAAACAGAGAAAAAAGGAAAGAAGAAGAAGAAGAAAAAAAAAAAAAGAAAAAAACACGGGAGAGGGGATGGACGCCTGACAGGATCCACCCAACCCCCCAACCTCCGCAACTTTCGGCTTGGGATCGGATGAAACGCGGGTCGAAAAGCCGAAGTGGTCACCAGCGGGTCTGACACGTGGCCACGTGTGTTTTTTTGTGCTGCTCTCCGAAAAGCCCTTCGGAAGTGGTGGGCATCAAGGCCAAGCCCCGAAATGATGTCCATAGCCCATCTATGGTCCCCTAAGGGTCTCGATGGTTTTTGGGCCCTAACTGGTTGTTTTCCCTTGGGCCCCTGCGGGATTGGTCGGGGTTCTTCATTGGAGGGTCCGGGTCCCGGTGTGCATTGGAGGGGTCATGACCCTTAGGGCCAGTCAACTTAGCCAAGAAGATTTCACGGTCAAAGCCTCGTGTAAACGGATGCCTTGAAGGACTGCAGGGAAAGGAACGCGCGGTTTCAGCTGAAGTTTCCGAGTCAACTCCGATTTTCAGGGGTGCCGATGGTGTCCCCTGGTTTATATATTTATGCCATTTCTACTTAACCCCCCCCCAAGAAGCGTGCCTTTTCTCCCGGTCCTTGGGGGCAAGTGAGCCATTTTTAGCAGCTGGATGTGATCTTTCGTGCAACCGAAACCAGCCCTTGGACTTGGCAACAACGATGCGACCATGAACTGGCAAAGCGTGAATCACTTTTTTGCAGCGGCGACCTGCCGCTCTACTTTAAGGGGGCCTGAAGAATTAACGTGCGGAAGCAGGGTGGATAAAAGGCAATTTGAGTCATTTTTGTTCGAAGATATAGTGCATAATGCTCTAGCCTCACCGAATAAGGCCCAGTCACACATTAGGCGTTTGCAACAAGTTGAGGACCCTTTTTGGTTGTTTGGCTCGAAAAATCGAGGGGGTTCGATTCCTGGTTTACCTGGTGAAATTTCATCTACCTGGGAAACCCATCTATGTCCCGAAAAGGGACACCTAAGGGGGAAGCTGGCCTGAGGGTTCTCTCAGAAGACCAAGCCATGTCCACCCAGGTGGCCGATGCCGTCCCCGCCCCATACCCAGCATGGGAGGGCGTTGGGGTCCTAGGGCGGAGGTAGCCCTGAAAAGTGATTCGTGGACATCAGAAGGGTTTTTCAGGTCCCCCAGTGCCCTTCTGCCAGGGTTCCAACCTAAAATATGTTCTACAGAAAAAAGTTGGTACCCTGACCTCTAACCTCTCTACTGGAGGACCTAGACATGAATTTCCGGACGCTCTCATGTTGTCATTTAGGTTCCCCGCTTGGAATTTTGCACAATCGTAGATGCCAAATCCACTTGTTATGGAAGCTCGGATTCGCCCAGACAACACCTGTCAGAGAACCCGCGTAAAATGGTTTATTCAGGAGTTGATCAATATTCCTTGCTCCCAAATCACCATGGGTATTTGTTCCCCATTTGATGGGAAATGTCATATTTGTGTCGTTTTCCCCAAAGGTCATCCCCTGTAAAGATCCTTTTGATCAACCCCCCATTTCCTACTCAGGGACTTGCCACCCCTGATTAGGACGGTCTACAGTTAGCATGAAGTCTGGCAAGGTTTACCCTGCCTCCCGCGAACTGTCTCACCTCTCCAAATATTGCGGCACTGGTCTTTCCCAGGGTCCAAAACTGGCTGATGCTTCTCCGGGCATGGAAGAGGACTGCGACAGGTCCCAACTTGCGAGTTGGAATTGACCATGGGGGCAGCTTGCCAAAACTGAGAGCTGCAGATGACCACTGTTGCAAAGCAACCCATAGGTACAAATCGAAGAAAGACGCCTCTACCAGCTCCTGCGCGTTGCCGGCGCTGAAGAGTTTCTAGCCAGAGGGCTGTGTTGCTGCCCTGTGATGCGCAACAGTTTGCTGTGCAACCTGCCTCTGACAAGAAAGTGTTCCAACAAATGAACTTGGCTATGTGTGAGTTATGCAAAGATGCACCTGGTGTGGAAGTACACCTACGACAACCGACATGCGGTGATCCATGACAGTTGTGTGTTTACATTGCAGAAACTTGACCAAGAAATAGGCCAAGCCGTCTCCGTGCTTGAAGATGAGCGCCAGTGCTTTCCACGGTATGGTGGCCACGGCAAATTGTTGCGATTGGACCCAAGTTCAAAAGTCCAAGCCAGATTCAGTGGACATTTGCATTCTGGGCGCATGTTCGGGGTTGAAACGAGTGGCTTAGCATGGCCGTGATAAATGGGCGAGAATGGCCGTAGACCATAGGTTACGCGATATGTGTACATCATATACAGTATATACGCACACTAACATATGTGTAATTGTTCTTAGAATATGGGTTCAGTTGTTTGCTTTTGCTGGTTCGGTTCAGTTTTAATCGTGGAGCCGCAAACTAGAAATCTCAAGTTGGTTGAGAAGATATGTGAATACATTTACGGTATAAAAACATATAGCGACGCATGTACCCACATACATGCAACATACACCCGCACACACACACACACACACACACACACCCACACACCCACACACCCACACACCCACACACCCACACACCCACACACCCACACACCCACACACCCACACACCCACGCGCACACGCGCACACGCGCACACGCGCACGCGCACGCGCACGCGCACGCGCACGCACGCGCACACCCACACCCACACCCACACCCAGACCCACACCCACACCCACGCACGCACGCACGCACGCACGTGCACACACACACACACAAACACACATACACACACAAACACAAAAACACACACAAACACAGACACAAACCCAAACATATATATATATATACATACATATACATGTTTACATGCATGTATGAATATATATACATATATATATATACATACACACACATCTATACACGCATATATATTTATATATGTTGTCACATATATACATACGCACATATACACGCATACACACGCATACACACACGCACACACACACAAGCACACCTGCCTACCTACCTGCCTACCTACCTACTTACCTACTTACCTACCTACCTACCTACCTACCTACCTACGCCTACCTACATACCACATGCTTGCCTGCCCACCATACATACATACATACATACATACATACATGGATAGCCCACCGGCCCACCTGCCCACCTACCCACCCACCTACCTACCTACCCACCTAACGCAACACAACGCAGCGTAACGTACATGCGTGCATACATGCATACACCTATGCGAGTGCCATTCTTTCAAGATGCGAGTGCCATTCTTTCTACCTATCCCAATGATTGGCCCTACGTACACCACGTAGAGCCCCTCGGATGAAGCCCGGGGCGTCGGAAGTGGCGTGAGGCCTTCGAAGCCGTGCCTTGCCAAAAGGCCTGGCACTGCCCGGCGCCCGGATCGACGGGAAAGGAACTGGGCTGCGGGCTCCGTTGGTGTCAAAGGGAAGCTATCAAATAAATTCATTCAACCAATAAGTTCATTCCAAGGGAAGCTGTCAAATAACTGTGTTTTTCCAACAAATAAATTCATTCATCGAACACCAAACATAGTAGCGATATTAGGAACATGATCTATTCCCTGCGTAATACTTACCTTCTAGTATAGTAAAAAGCAAATGGAAGATTCGGCGTGCTGTGCGCTCAATGGACGTGGTTGCTTAGGTTTTCAGGCTGGCTGCCTGTTTTGAGGGCTTAGGGCGACATGGTTCCTTCTGAAATCAAGGCCTTTCGTGAGGAGATTCATAGGACGAACTCCATCCCAAAGATGAAAATATTGGCTCAATGGTAAAATTTTGGGGTAGGTGCACCTCCATGTTGGACTATTTTAGTTGCAAAAAAAAGTTTACTGGGGGTACGGGGCTTTGACCCATGGCCATATATTGCGGGGTGTACAGAATTCCCAGGATGAAAGGGTCAGGGCCAAATCACGTATGTGTGTTGAGAGAACGACCCGGGCTGTTCGAGTCCATCGAATCGGCCTTGGGCAAAACCAGTTTGCCCCGTGTTCCATTGGAGCACTAACGCGCACATGCTGATAAATGCTATCCAACAGTGGGCTCAATGTGTTTTCATGCTTCAGGTTGTGGGGGGCGCACTTTGGGGAGGGATCAATCTTTGTTGCAATCCGTTTGGGGCTCGCATGGTTGCCTCTCTTGAGGCGCAAACGCATGTTTGCCGCAGCGGCCTTCTGTCTAGATGTTGCAACGCCCTGTCGGTGTCAAAAGCAGCCCCTAAGACGGCCCCTTCAGTTCCCTCAGGAAAGGACGATCCTGCAGAATCAGAAGGCTTCTTGCAAGTGTTCTTATCAGGACCTTTGGGGGGTGGGGCTGGGGGGGGGGCTTTGGTTTCCTGCCTCAGCAGGGCGGGGGGGGGGGGGCCTTCATACGTCGGAGTTTTCTCAATGAGCTCGCGAGGCCGTTTCCACCAGAAACAGTCGGAGAGACCAAGAAGGCCAGTTGGCTGGGTGCTGGGGACGTGCTTGTGGGTGCGCGTGTTTTTTTCAGAGTACCCTTTTTGTGATTGACTGAAAGGACAACTAAAAAGGAAACTCATGATTTTGGGGCCCTATTTTGACAGTGATCAATGAACCCCCGGTTGATGATTACAGGGTCCGAATGATTTTAGAGAGTATATTGGTGGTATATAAGCCAGAACCCATGCGTCCGAAGCCCACCGCAAGACATTGCGGTTGAAGTGAGGATGCTAATGCAGCTGCAGGTTAAACATATTTCTGGGCAGACTGTAGCCTGTCGCCTGGACGACCACCGGGCTCTCAAATAGATACCTAGAAGCTTATGGACGACCGGCCGTTGGATTGCAGCTCCTTTGTCGGAGATGTGGCTGGGAATTCCCGGGGCTTCTTGGGAAATCCTTGGCTTTTCCTCACCAAAGCCTCGCTCCCGGTGGTTTTGTGAATGACTTGCTGGCGCGAGTTCGGGAATGAGACATGGAATGACCGGTAGAAACCCTCCAACTGGTGGTGTCCTTTAAAATTGACCCTTGAGTCCATTCCCACATTTCCTACATGACTGTGGGTCAAAAATGTGTGCCCAAAATGGGTTACCCTGGTAAATTGAGATAAGGATTAAACCATCGGTCCCCTAGTGGTTGAATTTTGACCCATCACCACATGGAGATCCACAGGCCCGGTAGGTCCGAAACGGGCCGGCCGCCCAAAACCTCCACAACCGCAGGTCTGCGGCTGAGCGGTTCCGCAGCTTGGCTTCATATTGGATTTGGAAAGTTCGGAGCCCTTTGGTGGGCATCAGAAGTCAGTACGGATTCATGTCCAACGTTCATGGCCATATCCTTGGCTTTGGACACCATGTGGATATCCAAACCTTTGTGGGCGTTCCACATTGGCATCGGTGCCCTCGAATGGGGTTTCTCGGGTCCGGATCCCATTTTGAGAAGCCGTCGTTATTTTTTTGGATTAGGGCAAACCCCCAAAGAAATAGAGGATTGGGGTCCATGGTGTGCCTTTTAGGTCACTCTGCGAGTGGATGGCCTGTTTGGGGTCGTTCTAAGGGACAATTAAAGCAAGAAACATCACTTAAGGATCCCCGACATTGAGACAAACCCGGATGGCCTGGCTTCAGTTTGGTTTCTTATTCATTTACCTTTCAGTGGCATCTCCCTTTTCCAGAAGAGTCTATCTCAACAGAACCTCTAAACGTGCGCGTTTTCTGTTTGCTTCCGTTTTGGCTTCCCTTTTAAAACCACCCCCAAAAGGGAACCCTCCAAAAAGGACGCACTCATTTACTGTCAAAGAAGGAAATGATCATGGGTCAAAATAGTGCCACCAGGGGACCGCAGGTTGTAGTCTTTGGTTCCATTCACCAGGGTAACCCATTTTGGGGTACGCATTTTTGACCCACAGCCAAATGATCATGACTAGATGTGTCGTTTCACCAGACTTCAAGGCCAAGTTCAGGATCCCCCACATGGGTTGTACGCGTAGACAAACAACATGTTCGTTTTCTCAGAGTCAGGGACCCCCAACATGGTTGGTTTCGTCTTGCTTCCCTTTGAAGCCGAAAGCTGCCCCCCCCTCCCCCCCCAAAAAAAAGAAGAGCCTTTGAAGCCGAAAGAAAGCTCCCCTCCCCCCCCCCCGAGCAAAAAGAAAGAATAAGCTCGGCCGATATCCCCAACAGCACCACACCCTCCCAGAATCCTCGCAGAACGCCCCGGGACCATCCTTACCGCCGGTGTTGCTGAGGATGCCGCCTTGTAAAGCAAAGCTACGAGTGACAGCGCAATCTCGCCCTGATCGGGGCCCGGCGGCGCAATCGGGGCCCGATCGGGCCCGACGGCGCAATCGGGGCCCGATCGGGGCCCGACGGTGCAATCGGGGCCCGATCGGGGCCCGACGGTGCAATCGGGCCCCGATCGTCCCGTGGTGCAACCCAGCCACCCATATTATAGCTCAACGCCGAACTGTATCTATAGCAAAACTAGGCGATGCCAGCTTGGTACAATTGGCGGGGCCCGACTGAGTCGGGCCCCGATCGGGCCCCGACGGCGCAATCGGGGCCCTGATCGGGGCCAACCAGGGTCCGACGGTGCAATCGGGGCCCGATCGGGGCCCGACGTGCAATCGGGCCCGACGGTGCAATCGGGGCCCATCGGGGCCCGATCGTCCCGTGGTGCAACCCCAGCCACCCATATTATAGCTCAACGCCGGTTTTCCTTAGTATGCGGATTGCAACTGTATCTATAGCAAAACTAGGCGATGCCAGCTTGGTACAATTGACGGGGCAATCGGGTGGGCCCCGACCTAGGCCCGGTGAACCTTGCAAACCGTTCTCACGCAACTTTCGTAGAGCTCAGCGTGAAACTTTGCTGGAACCTTTCCTCAGGGCTGCCCCATAGCTTTTGCAGAATTTGGTGGAAACCTTCTGACCTCATAGCCCTCGCAGCCTCGTGGAATTCTTGGAACCCAAAGCCAGCAGCAATGCCAAGCATTTACTCTGCTGCACCGTGAGTTCCGCAGCGACGTGATCGGATTTGCCAAAGCCAACATTTGCCTGAGCAAGTGAGCAAGTCACAAAACAGTGAAAGTGTGCTAAAAACCATTGATTTCGGTTTTGCTTATAGTGGGTATCAATCAGTTAGCACACGGCATTCCAACGTTGAGTGCTAACTGTTTGGGCGCTTGCGCAGCGTTTTTTTCCCAAGCCGTGGTTGAGGCCCAACAGTTAGCACTCCAACTAGTCTGGCAGTCGGATTGTTCAAGGTCTTTGAAATAAGGCTTGGCATCAAAATAGCTTTACATGGGCATTGGAAGGAAGGACGGAAGGAAGCACGGAAGCGAAGGAAGCAAAGGAAGCAGGAAGGAAGGAAGGAAGGAAGGAAGCAAGGAAGCAAGGAAGCAAGGAAGCAAGGAAGCAAGGAAGCAAGGAAGCAAGGAAGCAAGGAAGAAGAAGCAAGAAGCAAGGAAGCAAGGAAGCAAGGAAGCAAGGAAGCAAGGAAGCAAGGAAGCAAGGAAGCAAGGGAAGCAAGGAAGCAAGGAAGCAAGGAAGCAAGGAAGCAAAGGAAGCAAAGGAAGCAAAGGAAGCAAGGAAGCAAAGGAAGCAAGGAAGCAAGGAAGCAAGGAAGCAAGGAAGCAAGGAAGCAAGGAAGCAAGGAAGCAAGGAAGCAAAGGAAGCAAGGAAGCAAGGAAGCAAAGGAAGCAAAGGAAGCAAGGGAAGCAAAGGAAGCAAAGGAAGCAAAGGAAGCAAAGGAAGCAAAGGAAGCAAAGGAAGCAAAGGAAGCAAAGGAAGCAAAGGAAGCAAAGGAAGCAAAGGAAGCAAAGGAAGCAAAGGAAGCAAAGGAAGCAAAGGAAGCAAAAAGAAGCAAAGGAAGCAAAGGAAGCAAAGGAAGCAAAGGAAGCAAAGGAAGGAAGAAGGAAGGAAGGAAGGAAGGAAGGAAGGAAGGAAGGAAGGAAGGAAGGCAGGACGAGACTCAGAGCTGCGCAGGGTGCTGCAGAGTTGCGCAGGGTGCTGTTGCAGGTTGCCATGCCAGAATCATCATTACTTCGAAACATCCTGGGGGGGGGGGTGCCGCAGTTGCGCCGATGGATGCACCTAAGGGAGAAGCGCGCCCTTCGCCGAATAATGGGGGTGCATGCCACGCACTAAAACTGCTGCGTTGCCATTTCAGTGAAGGGCAAAGACTGTAGTTAGGAGGAGCGCATTGGCAAGCGTGATGATCCGAAGAGTCCTGGCTGACACCAGCTGAGAAGGCGCTAGGGTCTGGCGTGCGCTAACTGTAAGTCAGAGGTTTGGCCATATGTTGGGCCTTACAAGTTCAGCCTGAGCGGATTCTTGAAGCTTGCTTAGCCTGAGCGGAAGCCCAAGTGCGTTTGCGCTTGCGTTCGCACATGCCTGTGCGTGGCATCCGCGTTTCTCCCGAGCGGGATCCTGAAAGTCTTAAGTTTGCCCGCCAAGGCCCCTTCGCGTGGCATCCGTAGCCGGCCCGAGCGGGATCCCGAGCTGGCTAGCGAGCCTGGCCGTTTTGGTCCTTTCAGCCGCCTGCGCGTTGCATCCCGAGTGGACTCCCGAGCATGGCGATTCTTCTCGCTGTCGCAAGGTGGTGGCGAGGTAGCGGATCTTTCAGGACTGATGCGCTTGACCCGAGCGGGATCCCGAGCGAGTCTGCTTGGCAAAAAAAACTGTAGGAGAAGCGCGTTGGCAAGCGTGATGCGAACACTCCTGGCTGACACGGCCAAAGGAGGCGCAAGCGGGTCTGGCGTGTGCTAACTGTATGCTTCGGCAAGAGGGTCTGACGCTTTTGCGTGGCACCCGTGCTCGCCCCGAGCGGGATCCCGAGCGGGCTAGCGAGCCTGGCCGTTTTGGTCCTTTCAGCCGCCTGCGAGTTGCATCCATAGTAGTTGGCCCGAGTGGTCCTTATCTGCGCCTTGGCGCGGCGCACGTGTTTGGCCCGAGCGGGATCCCGACTGTGTCTGCTTTTGGTCCTCACCAGCGCCTTTGCGCAGCGTCTGTGCTCAGCCCGAGCAGGATCCCAAGCCCCTCTGCGCAGCAAAACTTCGAGCGTGTTTGTGGGCTTTCAAGAGTAAAACCAGAGCACGGTGTTTTTTCAGGATGATGGACTTGTCTTTTCTCGCGGGTAGAGCCTCCACACTGTGTCCTAGCCCAGCTTGAGTTCGGGACGGTAATGCGTTTGCGTTTGCGCGCAACATGATGCAACACTCGACGAAGCAAGCTTCTTCATAATGTCAGTCGTTTTACTACGGGCGCGCTTTCAAGTCGCAGGAGGCATTGCTTTAGCGGTGGAGAAGCAGGCTTTTAGGGGTGCAGTTGCCAGGCTTTTAGGGGCTCGTTGTTTGTGAATCCCCAAGCCAAATTCAATTATCAAGACGCCATTGCAGGAAACGGCAAATATTGTAGGAGAAGCGCGCTGGCAAGCGTGATGCGAAGAGTCCTGGCTGACACGGCCAAGCGAGGTGCAAGAGGGTCTGGCGTGTGCTAACTGTATGGCTTCCGCAAGAGTGACGCCTTTGCATGGCATCCGCGTTCGCCCCGAGCGGGATCCCGAGCGGGATCCCGAGCGTGGCTTCGCTTGCCTTTGCAAGGCCCGAGCGGGATCCCGAGCGGGCTAGCGAGCCTGGCCGCTTTGGTCCTTACAGGCGCCTGCGCGTTGCATTAAACTCTCGAGCGTGACGGTGTTGGTCCTTATCTGCGCCTTGGCACGGGTTTGGCCCGAGCGGGATCCCGAGCGTGGTTGCTTTGGTCCTTACCAGCGCCTTTGCGCGGCATCTGTGCTTGGCCCGAGCGGGATCCCAAGCCTGTTTGCGGGCGCGGCCCCGGCAAAACTTCGAGCGTATTTGTGGGCTTTGAAGAGTAAAATCGGAGCACGGTACTTCGTCTCTTTCTTGCGGGTAAAACTTTTACACGGGCCCAACTGTCCGCTGCGATAATGCGTTTGCGTTTGCATGCAACATGATGCAACACGCGGACAACGCGAGCTTCTTGATGATGCCGTTGATTTTTGCTACGGGCGTCCTTTCAAGTCGCAAGAAGCATTGCTTCAGGGGTGGAGTTGCCAGGCTTTTATAGGGGCCCGTTGTTTGTGAATCCCAAAGCCAAATTCAATTGTCAAGACAGCTATTGCAGTAGAGAAGCGGGTTTGCAGGCGTGATGCAAAGAGCCCTGGCTGACACGGCCAAACGAGGCGCAAGAGGGTCTGGCGTGTGCTAACTGTATGGCTTTCGCA